CTTCGTCCCGCCATGATCCTTTCTCAGTGCACTGTCTCACTTCATGACCAGGTCGGTGACATTTCACACAGAATGGTGATTTCGTTTTGGCATGGCAGTTTTCAGCCGCATGCCCTAGTCTGCAACATAAAAAGCACTTTACGATGGCAGTTTCTCTGTCTCTATCAGGTTTGCTGTTGCGAGTGTTGCTTCCCTCCAAACCTTCCTTAAAAAATAATAAACTCTTCTGTTGCTGGGCATCCATAAACATGTCGGCTGCTTTTGTAGTAGCGCCCAATGTGCAACATTCTCTCTCACAAAGGAAAGCAACTGATTTCCTTCTGAATTTAGATAAAAATTGCTCTCTATTGACCACCTCGACGAGGCCATCGTACATTTGGGGAACTTCCGAGAGCTCAATCCAACTATCAAAATATCCTTTATTTTGGCTACGAACTGTGTGGCCATTTCTTCGTTCTCTGGTTTCGACGCTCGGAAACGCTCACGGTACCCTTCGGCCGTGAAACGGAAACACCGCAGAAGAGTGATTCAAACATTGGTATAATCAAGGCATTCGTCAGAAGGGGGAGGGACAGTCTTGCATATACCTTCAGAGCTTCTCCTGTGAGGCACATGCTCAAGGCGATTGCCCATTGTGATTTGTCCCAGCCTTGGCTGCTCACCACGCATTCAAACCTCTTGAAGTACACTTATAGGTCGTCTCAGGCGTCCTCAAACTGTGGCAGAAACTTACGCAGATTTATTGTACTTCAATTGCTTCTCCCTGTGGCGTTCGGCACGTCAGAGGTGCATCTATTGCTCAGCAAGCCTTGTCCATAGTTAAAGGTTGCGTTCCTCTGCTTCGGCTTGAGCTCGCTCCGAGGCCGCACGTTTGGCCGCTATTTTCTCTCGCTCAATTGCCAGCAGAACGCGTTCCATCACCGCTTCACGCTTAAGTGCCCTATCATCTTGCGGACGATTCTCCCGCAGTCTCCTCCGCTCTCTCAACTCTGCCTCTGACAAGCCTACATGCTCCTTACGTTCCCTTGACGCCTGCTTTTCCATAGCGTCTACGATTTGCCTGTGCCACAGGAAACAACTTCGTCCTGTCGCGCAGACGCTAAAATGTCATAGCGTATTACCATCACCGCGTCAGGTTCAAGAAATAAGGACAAAAGAACGTTCTCGGTGGCACACACACACTAACATTTAATTCATGAACAACAAAACAACAACCAGACAAGCGACTTGTGTTCTATGCAAAAAGATATGTGTCACTTGTTATAAAGCAATCCATGGTTCACTTGAAAAGAATGGAGAATGTCAAGGACTGCACTTCACCACGCAGATTGGCAGAGATACCATGAGCGTCCCAGACGCGACACTTCGGAGTTGGGGCTCAATGTTTCTCTGGTAGTCTGGTAGGCAGTTGGTGTGTCGTGAATGGTTGTCCTGGGTGTACCGTAAGACCAGTGATGTCCAGGTACACTGCCCGAGAACTTCCGCCAACCCTTCGGAGCCACAGTCTCAGTGGCACCAGGCATCAGCAGAAGCCAGGATTTCTTCACCGCATGGCTGCTTCTTCCACTGACCTCTGAATCTCCTCCACGTGCTGCTTCCCCACTTCTCCTCATCATTCTCTCTTTTTTTTTCAAGATTATCGTGCCACGAGGATTTCTCGCGTCTCTCTTTTTCTTTCGTTTCTGTAGTCAGCGTTACGTTCACTCAATGCCTTAGTCCTCCTTACTTCAGCAGCGTCCTTACAAGCAACACATGACACAGTGCTTACAGTCTGGTTTTGCCCACGCGAGTATCCCCATGCCCTGTCTAGTGCGGAGTCTGGCTGGTACGTAGGCATCACTCATGGTATCAATGATAGTGTAGCTGACGTACGCTTGCAGCTGGGACGTCGCGATAGTTTGGTCGCGAGGCCGCAAGCATAACCTGAACTGCTCACTCAAGAGTGCGTGAGCAGACAATGCGCCGGTGTAGCAACAAAGTCACACACTCAGCAAGTGCACTGGACTGCAACATACGTGAAACCAACAGTCACGCCCTCAAAAGGCTCCTGTGCCGGACTCGAGGCGATTCAGTACCATTTCTACGGCTTCGATAGCTAGTTGCGCTCCGAGCACAATCCCGCACGGAATCAGATGCTCGTCCTGACTCGCATGCTCGAACAGCCCGCAAGGCCCAGACGAGAACTTTCGTTCACCGCTGAAAACCGCCAAGCTCGTTTCGGCTAGTCTAGTGGCATCAGCTTGGTCTCTTTTGTCTCTTAAGCCAGACTTCCTTCGCTTCTTGCTTCACCGACCGCGCTAGCTTCGTTCATCTGCGCTCCGATGCTCACGCGCTTCACGTTGATCTCCCTATCGCACACACACTCCTTCACCTTCTGCTCTGTTTTCGCCTCTTAATCAGATCATCTTGCTGGACTTACGAACATGGCTCAACCTGAATCGAGAATGACTTAGTGGGCGATTGAAGTGGAGCTGATAGGTTTAACCTCTTAAGAAGCAAGAAAGCAGCAGAGTGCGTCAGGCAACAAACAGGGCTCAAGAATGAGAATAAGTTTGAATAAACGGTGGGGAGGTTAACTAGAGAACACTTTCGGTTTTCTACCCTGATTAAGCGAAAGCGAAATTGGCATGAGAACGTAAGGGGAGAAATAGGAAGGAAAGGTATAATTGAAGAAAAGAAAATAGAAAACGTGCACGCACTCAAGCACGGGATTGTCACAGTAGTTTAGCAACTCTGGTTGATCGCAGAAGCTCCAGCAGCCCTTTCATCGCTTTCAGGCTGAATGGTCGAACGTTCCAGTACTCCGAAATTGGCTACTCCGAAAGCATCTGGTTGTCAAGCCGTGCTAACGTTGCGCAAAGCTGTTTATTTGGGAGCTATAATGAGGACAGTCACAAAGGACGTGAGCATTGTTTTTCTCAGTGCCGCAGTGATCACCCGTAGCACTGTTATTCATTCTTATCCGGTAAGTAAAACTGGTTGGAAATGATACTTCAAGCCACAAGCGGCAGAAGATGGTCGTTTCAGCAGAAGGCACACCTTCTGAAAAATTTAATTTTGACACGTCATTGTTCTCTGGATCAGCCTAAACTTTGTCTGACAGTGCCAAGGATTCGTAAGAGGCCGGAGCTCTCTTCACCAGCAATAAAACAGCTGTCCGTGCTGATGCTCAACGAGCAATACGCAGACCACATTAAACTCTGCATCGATGGATCGGAAACTGCTGAGGTATCTTCAGGAGCTGTGAACTTCCCAGCAAAAAGTGAGATGTGTAATTTCAGAACGTCTATCAGGACTTCATAGAGAGCTATAAACCTGGCGGCACTCCATGGTGTGCTTCGGCGTATTCAAGTGGAGTCATCCCAAAAATAGGGCATATTCACCTACTCTAAGTCTTCCCTGCAGTGTCTGTGACCACCTTTGTGTCGTGGTGGACAAGAGCAGCTGGTATTAGAAAGGGGTTCAAGAATGGACATGGGCCCACACGTATAATTGACAAGAAGAAATTGACATGGGCCCCACACGTGTCTCGGAGGCCAAATAACCACTTTTTTCTAAGGCTCACTTGACTTCAAGGGATGGCGAACACGTGCGAGGAAGGCAGACTATCGGGAGAGCAGATGAGATGAAGAATTCTGTAGAAATAACGCATTAAAAGAAAGCACAGGTCTAGTTTGATTGCAGTAAATGGGAGGGACCTTTACACTGCAGTGGGCGTAGTCAGGATGATGATGAAGATGATTACGAATACAGACATCTGCAAAAACTTTTTTTGATGAAAATAGTATTAGGGAGGTCATAGATATTCGTTAGAAAGAACACTGGGCACAGCAAAGACCTCTGCGGTACACCGGACTGAACAGAGAAAAGAGCAGAGGAATAATTAGGAGTGATAAATTGTGTTCAGTTTCACAGAAACTAACTAATGCATTTAAACGCGCAAGAGTTGATTTTCAGTTTATTTTGTTTGAAAAAGAGAAATTCATTTACTACCGAGGCCAACGACTTTGCGAGTCTAAGAATAATGCAGTCTATATCGAAACCAAGATCAGTAGTTATAAACAGATAATTAGTAAACGTTTATGGTTGGGTCTTGCATGGAAATGTATTTTCTAAATCAACGTGGGCAATCTTTCAAGAATTGATGCCCAAAAATCTTACGAAATTAGAATAATGATGTGTTTGATAATTCTGCATTGAATGCTTGGTAATGAGATCACTCGATGGCTGTCAGCTGAATGATTATTCAGGTTATTCAAGAAAGAAAAGCCAGCTCTGATAGTCAGCACCGCCGCGTTGGTCTAGTGGATAAGGTACTCGGCTGCTGACCCGCAGGTCGTGGAAACGAATCCCGGTTGCGGTGGCTGTATTTTCGATGGAGGCGAAATTGTTGTAGGCCCGTGTGCTCAGATTTGGGTTCACGGTAAAAAAATACACGTGGTCAAAATTTCTGGAGCCCTCCACTGCGGTGTCTCTGATAATCATATGGTGGTTTTGGGACGTTAAATTCCACGCATGAATCAATCAGATCTGGTAGTCATAACTCACTCTTTTTCATTTGCATGCACTCTTCCCACAACCTTCCGGAAGCGGCCGTGAATAACAGGCTCATATTAGAATTAGTGTTCACATTAGTCTTCGCTGTGTTATATCAGCTGTGATTACAGCGTTTATATAACACCACTTCTGCTGTCCGTTCATATTTGGCAGCATTCTTGTGCATTTCCTTTCACAGCGTACGCGTTCCTTGTGCTTCTCTGCCCGTAAAGTGCGTTGGTCTTCTCGCCATTTTAGTTCTGCTATTACTCTTAAGACATACACTTTCAACTCTCACTTTAAAAACTGCTGCTGAGTTTTTTTTTCTAGCTGATGATAGTTATGTTTTCCACAAGGTATTTTGGGCGGGATATATTTTCTTACACGGTGTAACGTCTTGTGCCCCATCGTGTACGCAATTACGTGCTACAAAATTATACATTCACTTTCAATAATCCTCGCAGGTTTATCCGCATATTGGAAGCAGCAATGGACATGCCATTTCTACAGGAGATTGAAATATTCTTCGGCCACAGTGGGGCAGCAATGCCGCTTGTACACAAGGAATGGTCGCTACAGCTGATACGCCACGCCCCTTCCCAACTGCGTAGGTTGACTTACGAAGTTGACAGAAGCTTAGCTGAGTGCCTGGAATGCGATTGTGACAATTCTTCCACTGTGCAGAAATCAGTAGTTATCAACAAGGGTGTACCACTTCCTATGCTACTCGCACACCGGGAACTCACGGGTTGTGCGACAAACCAGGCGCGGTACCAAATTACGGTTACGCCCCAGACGTCGCAGCACAATACGTATATCAGCGTTCAAGCAACGGTGCGCATGCCCCCAAACAATTAGCCACGATTACTTCCCTTAAAACTTCATGAAGTTTTCTTTGTGTTCACCTAACATAAATTGCATTTTTCTTAATTCTTGGCATTGTGGATGACAAAATCCGTAAAGAAGAATTATCTGCTCGAGCAGATGTTCCGACAAGTAGACTTGCCCTCTTCAAGGCTAGAGATGCATCAACTTTATCTATAAAGAGCACAAGTATACTTCTCGAGACATCGGCTCGAGCACACCCAGCCCCTGTTTACCCATTTTGCACCGCAAGCTTCCAATTGCCCTTCGCATTTTCTGGGAGTTGTAGGTGATTGCTAACTCTATCATGGACCTTTGTGATAAGCGTATTTGAAATCCGAAGAAATAAAAACCGCTTCCACATCAATAACGACAGTGTTGGCGTGCAGTGAACTCAAGTTAACACGCCAGGACAAGACCGCGACTTCATTGTGGTGGCGTAGTAGGTAGGTTGAGAAAATTGAAGTATTCCTAATAGATGTAGTATGGGTATTAGAACGCCATTACTCTAGTTCTTCTCGTGTGATCAAGCTGCAGCGACGCCAAGAGCCTCTGGCATCGCTCCCGTAAAAACATCATTCGGTGCGAGGCCATCTTGTGTTCCTTCTTCGCATGACCTTCAGAATAACGTCCATGACAGAAGTGGCTATCATCACAGCAGAAGTAATGTCATTGAAGACTCCGTATTTCTCCATCTAGTACACCGAATCATCGAAAGTTCGCTACTTCTGCTTGCTTCTGTGACGCGCGTAGAGCGGACCAAGCTATCGTGTGTGTTCTGGCACCTTTCATTGTAACGCAGGATGAAATACGCTTCAGCTTTCACCATGCTATGCTGGTTCACCTAAGCTGTGCTACGCGCCGGTGTTGACGACGCAGCTGTCGCGCACAATTTTGACCTGGTCAACTAATCTGGTCTACCCGTCACTTCCGCCCCTGCGTGATCAGCATCATCTGTGCAGCATCGCCTTGAGATGAAGACAGTACTGTTACCAAAAAGCTTCACTAGTAGTGGTGCTGCAGGTGATCCGGCTTCATTTGGCTGCACCACATGCGGCTGTAGGAAGGCAAGCTTAATCGTACTTGCTTGCTCCTGTAGAAAATACACGTTGTTTTCCCTAAGCTGTGCTACGTGTCAATCCTGTTGACCATACACTCTGAAAAATGTAGTAATACTTGCTAATTTCGGGGTACTAATTGTTTGTCACATATGTCACAACCCTGCTAGGAAGTGCAGTTATTAACAGCGAGGGCGGTAAGTTACAACTATCATTTATTAGCTGTTACCACCCTAGCAGTTACCAACCATAGATAGTAAGTTTTGAAGGTTTACAGGAAAACAAAAGTACTAGTCGATACCACAATGTTCATTTTGCCATAATATTTTTTTTTTCATTTTAAATACAGGTCAATTATTGTCTGATTACTACACGATTTCGGGTAATATGCCACAATTTGTCATGAACACCAATGCAAAATAGACCTATCACGTTGGCTACGCTACAATACTAGGTAAACGACTACCGAAGTATATATAGGCCTTAGTTGCCTATATATATATATGTCGGGCACAGGTGAGCACTTGTGGTTCAGGATGAATTCTGAGAAATGTGAGCCTAGCGTACTATACCGAACTGCCTGGTTACGTGTGTTCGGGGACATAGCACAAAACCCCCAATCATCTGTACTTAACAAAAATGATATGCTTTATTTATTTATTATAAAAGGTCACAATAAGACATGCACAGCAGTCCAAATAAGGTACCGAACTCATTAATAGAGTTTCAGTGCATTTGATTGTTTCACACTGTAACATATCAGTAGTTTCAGTTTCAGTTTCATTTTATTTCAGTTATTAGTACAGAAAAAGGAACAGTATACAAAGTATATATACAGGAGGAGGTCCGACAGCACAAGGCTGCAGGGGGACCTCCTGTTCAAAATGGGATTACAAAATTTACTCAATTAGCAGTAACAGTGAAAACAGAGAGATGAGCAAATTGATAAAACCAACACTAACTAAGAGACAAGTAAAAAGAAGAGTGGAATAAACAATATAACAAGATAAAAACATCTAGTAGTTTATCAAGTACGAATACAATTGTTCTTAAATGTGCCAATAGTCGAGCATTGCTTGATGTGAGATGGCAATGAATTCTATAATGATAATGCTGAGAAATATGAAGTGTGGCGACCAAAATTAGTGCCGATAGTAGGTAGTAGAAAATTTCCATTTGAAGCGAATCTAGTACGGTTTAAGTTAGACAAAGCATTAAGATAAAAGACGCTTGACGGGACAAGATGGTGCAATGACTTGAACAGCATGATAATGAGGTGATATTTAAATAAACTAACAGTAGAAAGTATTTCGAACTTACGAAGTAATGATGATGCACTAGAACGATATGAACTGAGAGTCATTAGTCTGATGGCTTGGTTTTGAATGTGCTGAATGGGAGATAAGTGGGTGAGGTATGTATTTCCCCAAGTGGTGATGCAATAATTAATATGGCTGTCAATAAAAGCATAATATTACTTGATTAGAGTTGAAATGTTAAAGTAGTAACGTGCTCTCATTCAAATCCTGACACCAAATGCTAGTTTTTTGCGCAAATGAATAACATGATTAGAGTATTTTAGGTTGCTGTCGAGAACGATTCCTAAGAAAGAGCATTCATTGTCAGGGTTAATGAGTGAGCCATTTAGTTTAATAGAAATTTGGGAGGGAAGAACTTTGTTAGCCGAGTGGAATATCATGAACTTAGTTTTCTTAGGGTTAATATTGAGGGAATTCGTAAGACACCAGCTTAAGTTGTTATTTAGATCTTTTTTTGTAATTTTAGCGTTAAAGAGTCAATTGATTTGCCAGTGGCTAGTATTGTAGTGTCATCGGCATAAAGAAAAGGCAGAGAGTTAGTAACTGAAAGGGGAAGGTCATTCATGTAAATTAAAAATAAAAGCGGGCCAAGAATGGACGCTTGAGGAACACCCTGATTAGTAGTAAGATAATCTGATAAAGTAGAGCGAACATAAACAGCCTGCTGTCTATTATAGAGGTAACTTTTAATGAGTGTAAGGGCAGGTCCAACAATACCAATGGCCGTGAGTTTGGTTTCCAGGATGCTGTGATTAAGTGAGTCGAAAGCTTTGGTTAGGTCAATGAACAATGCTCCAGCTAATTCACCAGAATCAATAGCTTTTTTGATCTTATCAGTGAAAGCTAACAATGCAAGATTAGTCGAGAAAGCAGGTCGAAAACCAAACTGACTAGGAGTTAAAATGGAAAACTTAGACAAGTAATTAGTTATACGTTTCTCAATACACTTTTCTATTATTTTACTAAAAGATGATAGGATAGCTATGGGGCAATAATTAGATATGAAAGTTCTCTCGCCTTTTTTGAACAGTGGTATTATTTTGGCCTGTTTTAGTTGTGATGGGAATGTACCCGTCTTGAATATTAGATTGATAATGCGGGATAGAGGGACGGCAATATGGTTGGCAATTAGCTTAATGTAGGACGAGTGAATTCCGTCCAGTCCAGGAGAGGTTACTTTAAGATTATGAATAATGCTGATAATTTCATTAGGGTCTGTTGGGAAGAGGTAGAAAGATTGTGAAGAGCGGACCTGAGATTTATTGGACGATGGGGGTGTACTAGAAGCTTGTTTACAGTAAAATGAGTTGAATTCATTCGCAATGTCAATTGGCTGATCTAAGACACGGTCAGCAATTTGAAGCTCAGTGATAGTTAATTCGGACGTGTTCTTGTTTAGAAAGGAGTTAATAATTTTCCATTGTTCATTAGAGTTGTTGCCAGCACGCGCTATTTTTTCTTCGTAATAACTTTTTCTAGCTGCTTTTAAGAGTCTATTGAGAGTATTAGAATAGAGGGTGTAACGATGTTTTAGATTCATATTGAAAGGACGGCGTTTGACTTTGTTGTAGAGGTTTTCTTTTTTACGCATGCATGTCAATAGACTCTTCGTTATCCAGGGATTATGGGGTGCTGAGTATATTCTTTTACATTTTACTACCGTTGCGCTATCATGAATGCATTTGCATATGCGAGACGAAAGAAAATCAAAAGCTAAGTTGGCATCAGTGCACGTTTCATTGAAAGACCAGTCGACATTTGTTACGCGGTTCACATACTCTTCTTTGTTTAGAATTGATTTAGAAAATCTTAAATCGCGATTATGCTTGGAGTTTTTACATGAGAAGAAAACAGGGTAATGGTCAGTAATATTTACTTTAAGAACACCACTGTGTTCAGGTGAAAGAAAGTTAGGCAGAACATGGTCAATGAGTCTGCTACTGCGGCCAGGAATGCATCTAGTTGGAAGTGTAATAAGGACTCGTAACCAAAACCTTGGTAACAATTTGCATATTCAATGCGATTGGAAGTATCTTCAAGTAAATCAATGCTTAAGTCACCCACAATAACAACATTTTTACATTCACATGATAATGTTTCATGGACAACATAGAGACTTGAAAAGAACTCAGAAATTGACGATGAAGGCGATCGATAGATAGTTCCAATGATAAGTTTACCAGTGGATGAAGGCTTGTCTAGTTCTATCCAAACAGATTCGCAGCTATCGACGGCAATATGAAGGTCAGATCTGCGTTTATAGGGCAAAGTAGGTGAAATAAAGATGGCTGCGCCACCATGGCTACTTGATGTGCGATTGCAGTATTCTGACAAGTAACCTTGTAAGCCAAACAAGTTTTGATCCTCTAGTGTAAGCCATGTTTCCGAGATGCAGACGAGGGAAAAGTAACTTTTGAAAGAATGTAAAAGAGCGTTTATTTCATCATAATTTTTTTTGACTACGCGCGTTAATGTGAATTCCTGATATGGCAGAGTTATTCAAGAAGGAATCTAAGTTATTGATATTAAAATAAGACGACATGATGATGCGCAGTGTTTCCTAGATAGATAAGTGACCAGATCTATCGAAAGATAGAAAGGTCAGCTTCAGTGTGAATCCGATACACCCTACTTTCGTTTGATTGCCTCGCCTCAATATGGCAATTATCCGTCCAAAGGAACGCCCAACCCTTCTCTCTCTTGAGGGAAAGAGCTTTCGCGAACAACCTTTTGTTTTCTACGGTGAGATGGTCATTGGTCATTTATATACAGAGGATAATGATGAGGGCCTGGGAATCCGAGATCATTCGTGTGCAGTTTGGCCTTGCGAGCCTTGCTTAAAAATTCTTGCTTCTTATCGCGAGAACAGAAGCGCGCGATAATGTTTTTTTTAGTCATTCTTAGTGGGGACGCGATGAATGACGTCGATGTCTGAATCAAGAATAGTGCAGTTGATTTTAGTTGCCACAGCTTTTACTATGGCTGTGCAATCT